CTAATAACCGAGCATGGCGAAATGATTTATCGCGTTGTTCAACCGAACCGAAGCTTTCCATCTACGCAGCAGCCCCTCGGAAACAATCCATTATTCGCGGTGGATTTTTGGCACCGGAGGGTAAAACCTTCAGGCCCCTTGGGAAGAGTTCCCGGGGCCCAGGTACCAAGGGAACACAAAATTACCTGTGGAATTTTTTCGTTTCCTCTACCTAAGGAATTCCCAATTCCCAATTCTCAGCAGGAACGACGTGACCAGAATAGCTGAAGATTCCGACTTCCCGTGTACATTTTAATTGTCAAAAATAAAATGGAAAACTAGAAAATAGAAAAGTTTGTAGAATAGAATAAGCATAGTAGTGAGCCAATAAACGAGTTCAACAAGTGAACGTACTGTTTACTCATCCCATTGAATCTCCCTTTCATCCAGATTCATCTGCAGGAACCTTTCTTATCAAGAAAAGAGATATGAAATGATATCATCTGTTTCCGGTGACATCATTTTCACGGCAGTTAAATAAATACCGTGAAAGAACGACCACGCGTGAACATGTGTACTCGATTGTATTTCGTGAAAGTGTTCCGGGGCCCGACAGAGTTAACCGTAGTAACGTAGTGAGCGATTTATGCGTACACAGTGCACCCGGTTTGAGAGATAAATATTTTAAACAACATGAACTCTATGTTCGTGATACATCATTTTCGTTTGGATTTTCCTATTTGCCATATTTTCCAATGTATCGAACTGTTCTCGTATAAAACTACTCGTTTTTGGAAGAATTAAACGCTGACGGAATTACCAAAAACGAGTTAACTTAAATTAAGGAAAGAACGATGGAGTAACTCTGTTGTAAGAAATCTTACGTACTCTGTTCGAACGTCGGTTAATAAAAAGATTCTGTTCAACCCTGAAAACTGGCTGTTTCTTTCTCGTCTACAATTACACGATTCATCTTCCATTACAATAAGCGGTAACGCGAACGAGCTGAGTCAGCGTGCAGTCGCAAAAGATATTCCCCACTCTCCCGGAGCAACGTAACCAATCCTCCTTTCTCCATACGTTTAGAAAGAGGAAAACGAACCGGCCTGCCTGTTTTTCCCGTCTACCTGACTGCCTAACGTTCAAATAACGCCGAGATTAGCGGAGTGAATCCGACGAATTTGGTCGGCATTAAAACGCGGAGGAAGAGGGGCTCGTTCAGTACACCAGTGTTTCCCAACTTCCAGTCGCCTTCCCATTTCGATGAGAATTTATTAGAGCCAATCATGCGATTAGTAGAGTTTCATCGATCCGTAATTAGTCTAATATCATCCGAGAGACTCTCTGCTCGTTCACAGGTAGAAACCCACAGATTGGGAATCGCCAGTCTGAATCTAATAATAAAAAAAATCATTAAAAGGTCGGTTAGAAAAGATGATACGATCATTAGAGTTTCCTTGATACATAATTAGTCCGTTTTCACCCGAGAAACAATCTGGCAATCCGCAGGTTGGGAATCGTGGATGGGAGTCTGGATCTTGCGATGGACCAACCGTGGAGATACGTATAGCTCAGCGGCGCGGTCTCCGCTCCTACCCGCGCGCTTTTCGCCGAGTATCGATCTGATATCCCTGCCCCGCGCCGGTTGGCCAGTGTTTGCCGGAGAACTACGACCGTGTCTGCACCCTGTCCCCGTGCACACCCTCACGACAAAGCGATGGTGGTTGAGCAGCCTTCGGTTTCTTGCCGCAATCATTTCAGAATCGACTCTATCTCCATCGTAGTTATTCCAATAATTACTTGCCTAATTCGTTGGTCCCAAACACACGTTGCACGCAATCCATTGCGTAATTTGTTTACATATGAACGCCAAGGATTGCAACTATTTTCATATCAATCTATTATATAAAACTATCAGCAAAACATATTTTCAACGTGAAATTCTTAATAGAGCCACTTTTCAAAACGAACGGTAATTGCAATAAAGACAGCTATTATTTCTCCATTAAATTAACAGCAGAGCGATAGCGGTGTGGCCTTCGAATTCTCATTACGTTAGAAATTTCAAAATTCATTCTTTGTTTATAATAAATATTTCGATTGGTGTTCCCATAGGAAGGTGACATTCAATTTCTTCGCAAGGTCATTTTTCTTGCTACCTTTTAAGGGTTAACAACTCGTAGTAAAGCGAATCGAACGCGGGACCGCGTGTACACGTGGACGTGGGAAATTGGCGCGAAGGAATATCTCCCCTAGTTTATCTACACCACTCATGGACAAACGAAGAGGGTTTCCGTTTCGCGTACGCGAAACGTTCGTAATAATTTTGCAAGCGAATTTGCTCTCTATTCGCAGCTTTCACCGCATCGTGAAAAATTTCGCTGCCCGCGGACGCAATATAGCCAAGCGGCAGCGAGCTCGTTCGTACGCAAAAATATCAATCCGGTATAGATTTGAATAAATGCAAACACGCCGTGTTTTGAAACGTTCCATTGCAAGAGTTCCGGCTGATAACTAAGCGTATGAGACGCGAGAAGTTAACAACAGCGGATCGTATGAAAGCGTAATTCACGGGCCTTTTTTTTTTTCGCTGGCTATCTTTCCACATCTTTCAAACCGACTTTCTAACGCGACCGCGAGACACTCTCCCGGGTTTCGTTTGCCGAACAACAATCGTGTGAATTAAACGTTCGCCTCGAACGATCCTCGGGTAAACATAGAATTAACGGAGACATGTTGAAACGTGTAATTACGACGTTCCTAATAGCCGACGAATGTCGATTTCGAGCGTAGAAAAATATTGGAGGAATGACAAATAATAATAATGATTCGTGAACACGAAACGTAGCCAGGCAAATTTCGGTCGAGCCTGTAGGATATTTCCTGCGGTGGGCATATGGCGAGGGGTAGGGTTCCCAGAAGGTTCCCACGGTCAATAGCTTTCGTGGCGGTGAGGCTTGAAAGTGTTCGAGGGGCCCGACTCCCTCCCCGGGTACCATCGGGTCTTTCGCTTATTCGCAACATTTTCGAAAAGGCCCCTTTTTACAGTTCCACGAAAAGCCCATAAATCTCTAACGACGGCGGTCTGTTAACTGTAAATTATAATAGGCCGATCGATTGTATGATTGCTCGTAAACTTAGCCATCGAACAGTATTCTGAGTATAGAACCTATTTAATTATTAAACGAAACTACACTTATAGATTTACAGACAACCTAAATTAGCATTCTAATTTACTCGACGTATTTCAGTTTTCATTTGTAAATGAACTGATATTTGAGATTTTCGGAAATCGGATTTAAATCGATATCCCTTGAAAAAAAACTTCGCGTTTAACAGCCAGAACCCCGTTATTGATTATTCGGCGTCAACGCGGCTGCAACTTTAGACGAGGCTTCGTTAATTATTTTAAACCGGTCGTCCCCCGACGACTAATCACGGTATTTCGTTGGAATTATCTTCTACCTAGCAAACGAGCGAGCAGCATTGCGAACCGGGAGTCTGCGATTTGCTTATTGATTTTTAATTATCCTTTCTCCTTTTAATCGTACGTACGCGAAACGGTCTGTCCGCCGTGTCGAATATTTTTGTTTGCACGAGATTTTTATGTGAACCTCGCGTTCACATACGATCGATGCGTGTTAATTGAGAATAAACGCAGACGTGACATTGCACGGAGTGCGCGGTAAAACACAATAGGTTTCGTCACAGGAAATACATATTACATCAGTGTAAGTAAGGTTTCCCGGTAATGCACACTCTTCCCGCCGAAAGTTGTGTTGCTGGTAGTCGCGTCGAGCTCCATTCTACGTTACGCGATGAATCACTCATTCAGTTGGAGTTGACGTACGAGTTGGCCCCGGCGATTGTTTATTTTCACGGGCAGTCGTACAGTTAATAAATAATTGCCATGGCTACGTGCCCACGGCCGCCCACATTGTCGTCGAATCGACGGAGCGCGGCAAAACGCAGAGACGAATCGCGGATTCGTACTAAAAATACCGGCTTGAAAAATAAGACGTGCTCGGCCCGCTCGACCGTCGCAGCTTCACGCTATCAGTAATAAACAAACGCGAGCGTGCGATAAATTCCGTGTAATAGGAAATGCGAAAAGAGAATTGAAAAAAAAAAAAGAATTGGCGAGCGTCGAGACTGCCCCCTCGTACCTTGACACTCGAAAGCTTCGATGGCCGAGCTCGGCGGGCCGGCAAAGCACGGAATACATTTTTCCCCGATTATGAAACATAACTCGGTGGCACCGCGCATTGGAAACCGTAACAGGACCTACCGTGTGTTTGACGATCCTCGAAGCACGTCGTCCTCGCGGGCAAGCACCACTTTCACACATATATTTACAAGAGAATTATGCGATTTTTGGCAGCGACCATGTATAAACGGACACCGACACAAGGCCCCCTTTACGGAACTGAAGTAACGTTGACGGCAAGCTCGTGAACAAAGACCACGCACGATTTCAAATCCCGTCGCCACGATTGGCTGGTCGCGTTCACGTGACGTTCCTACCCTCGCCTCATTGACTGCGATCTATGGCCGCCGACGATGTTTTAAACCGCACGTGGCCGACTAAATGAATTTAACCGAGCGAATTTTTCTAAACGCTGATCGTTGCCGATTTTTCCTGATCGATTTTCTACGGAATCGTCGCGAACACTATGGTACGAGCGTCGCGAATGATCCCAGTCGTGCGCCTTCTCCATCACCTTCCCCACTTCAAAATGGCCGTGCCCGAACGACCCGAGAAGAAACGTTCGCTCCCACAGAGTTTGTATCATATTTTGTTTTCTCAACCGATTTAAAAATATGTTCCAATTTTTTCACACCTCGGGTGGGTAAGATATTTTGCAACCCGTGTTGCGGTACGCGCGAAAACACTTTGTAGTGGGAGATCAGGACGTCGGACGAGTCCACCGTGAAAAGAGAGAGGGAAGGACGGCAGCCCCGTTACGAATATACCACAATGGCGGGATTATCGCACGAATTTACATATAGAAAAAAATATATAAACTGAAACATAATCTCATTCTTCAACCAAGTTCTTTACAAATATTCGAGGTCTCGCCTCCTTGGTACATGACAACAATTCCATATCTCGTTTACCCAATCGTTTAACAAGCTTCAAATATATTACTGTACAAAATTTATATATAAAACTTTAAACACCTTTCAACACTGCTAAACTCTGAAGTAAATAACTTTCAAAATATTATATATTATACGAACTAAAAATAAAATATGGCACTTAGATCGTTTCCTCTGCTTTCGACTTTGCAAGGAATGTAGACTATACATGCAGCTACTGTCGAGTAACTCTCGTGGCTTTTAAAAGTCTTTGAAATTAAATATTTCCCACTGACGCTAGTATTTTCATGTATATCTCTACGCCCTTCAAGAATATATCTTTGTTCAAATATTCATCGTGATCGTGAAGGAGGATTTTCGTTTTATTCATCGGCGAGAAGCAAATTGCGGGAATACCGACCTGCAACAAGAGGCATTTTTCAAATCATTCTCTGACTTTTGTATAAATATAATAGAAAGTTAGTTAAGAAAAATGGTACGTACTCGTCGTATGTATCGACTGTCCGTCGCGCCTGGGAATATTCCCGTTCGCACTTTCAGGCCAAGTTCTTCGTACGCTTTTTTTAAAGCAACCCAGTAAGGATTCGAATCGTCCAGCTTCGTGCTTTCAACTTTAGCATTCCTCTGTTTGAATGTGAATTTAACGCCGGGGCCAGCCTCTTCGCACCATTTCTTGATCAACGCTGCGAAATCAGCGTGCTCGACGGAAATATCGAGACGAACGTCGAAAACCGCCTTCAGCGAAGTGGGCAGTACGTTTGCTTGAATACCACCCTGAAACAAATTGTATTTTGTACGATTAGTTTACGCAATATATGAATTTTGTTGGCAAATTATACAGTAGGGAACATTTATAAGACAACACGAGTACTTACTGTGCGATGTCACTCCCCTAAACGCGCGCAGGCATGTAGATTTGATAGAGAAGGTATTAGACATAAATTCACGAAACAAATAAACGGTAAGAAAAATATATGTACCGATAACATCATCAAGTTTATGGTCGTAACATCGCCGAGCTCTATCACGCTGTTACCCTTCATCTTCGCTTTCTCGTTGGCTCTGTAGTCCATGAAACGGTCGATCACGATCCTCATCTTCTCGCCAGCCGTGTTGTCCGCCAACAATGATCCATGGCCGGGAGTGCCGGTACACTCTATGTTAACTTGCCAAATGCTTCTCTCATTATAGAACAAGAAGAAAGTTTCGTCGGGAGAGGCAACACCTTCGTCCATCGCGAAGCCGACGTTCAAATCTTTGAACTCTTTGGTGTGCACGAACTCTTTCATGCCGAGAATTCCTCCTATTTCTTCGTCTGGTACAAACAATACATGAATTGTTCTCTCACAACTCTGCCCGTTGAGTTTCATACGGCGTATCGCTTCTAAATATTGAATTCCAACGCATTTCATGTCCTGAGCGCCGCGGCCGTAAATATTTCCATGGTCATCCGTATAAGCGCTGAAGGGCGGTTGAGTCCATTGATCCTAAACATATTACGACCGCTGTTATTTACTATCAATCCCAGAACTCTCGATTTGTACTTACTTCGAAGACAGGTACAACGTCCATATGGCTGTTCAACAGAATAGTAGGTTTCGAAGGATCTTTTCCTGTCCATGTGAGAATCACGATTGGTTTATCCGCGTGACAGTGGTGTATTTTAACAGGCAATTCGAGAGACTTTGCCAGCTTCTGAAGAAAGGCGACGCATTCATCTAAAAAATAAAAATATTCAATAAATGATTGTAGAAACATTTATGTGAACACCTTTTGAAATTATACATCTATCTTAATCTGTTGTTGTTACCATCAAAGGTGACATAGGATCAACTGAAGGTCTGTTATCACTATTCAAATACCTTGAGCAAAAACTCTAATACGGAGCTGTAAACTTCTGATATCTTGTTTACTGTGTACAAAGACGGTTTGAGAATTTTGAGTAATCAAGTTTGCCACGATTCTGGAAATAATGATTTCTACTCCTAATCGATTACTTCTGATCTAATTATTGTCTCTTCGATTCTTATCATCGTTAAACTTTAACTAATTAAAACGATGTGTGGAAGCAAGGGAGAAAACGTGGGTACGAACGACCCGGTAGGTCAGAATATAGGTCAATCACGAGTAACGATCGCGTACAGTTCTCCAAATACTTTCAGATTTCCTCAGGAGAGTTTCACGGATGATTTCGCGTTCACGTTTAGATACGACAAATGTAATATAAAACCAGAAATAAGATTGAACACAGGGTGGGGCATGCAATGGCTGGATAGCGTCTCCGACGCTCCGACCGAGTTTCGTCCAAGTCCCCAGTCCCTCGTACGGAAACGCGTCAGCCTTTTTATGAATTAATGCCAACGATCAACGTGCGAAGTTACAAGCTTAAATGAATCGTGATTCCCTTTAATAAGGAAATGACCAAAACCTTCCACGACTTGCCTGATACGATTTAAACACGATCGCATGCTTATTCCATGCGAAAGGCACGTATAGAGTTTTTGCACGCGTGGGACTCGCATGGAATATTCGCGTTGCCACCGACTAATTCTAAACGGGAAACAAACGTAGAATTGTATTTAATCGCTCACCGTAGTTGACGTTCGGTTGGACGGAAGGTATTCGTAAGTATTCACGAAAATTCTCTACAGCTATTGAATCCAGCTGAGGCTTTGTATAGGAAGAAGACGAAGACATCGTTGCTGATTCTGTTTCGTAGCGTACGTAGGTAGTGTCTGCCCGTGTGGAACGCCGCCGTGTGTCGACTGTCACACAGCCGTAGCAGACGCCTGCTACCTCTATCCGCCGATGACGTAGCCGGGCCTCGATCAATCGGAGCTCGCGAACGATCAACGCAAAATCGAGTGGAGCTATTTAAAATCTCTTGATAAGGGGGCTTTGCTCGATTTCAATTACACACTATTATCTAATATGGAAAATTTTCCTCTGCTCTGTAGACAGAGCATGAAAGATAAGCAAAACTAAGAGCCGATGCATAAAGCGATGCAAAATTATCAAAACCGTATTCTTATCAGGCATAAGAGATTCTGTTTAATCTGTTTAAACGAGTACCATAAATATTTTATTTCGCAATAAAAATCCGCAGTCTAGATACGAGTTTAGCTTGGAGGATGCACAGGAGAATTCCATGTTTAATAATTAGAACGACACAAGTGGAAGAGAAGAACGCAGGGCGTTTAAGACTTAGTTAATTCGTAAAATGTATTCCGATTTATTAAATTTCATGTATGCCTAAATATGAGCTCTTTACACGTTACGCCATAATGTTATATTCATATAGAGTTTGATATCGAAGAACTTGTTACATTCATTAAATCCATAGTACGAATTAAATTATATCATACAATGTAGAATATAATGCAACGTGGCTAATAACTAGGCACATACATGTAACAGTGAATTGCAAATAAAAAATTATGTGTTCCGACACTATTATAAAGACGAACTCTTTTTCTCTCATAAATATATATAATTATATATTTATATATAATCGTATATATGTATATGCGTATATACAATAATAATAATAATATAATAATAATAATAATAATAATTATATAATAATAATAATAATAATAATTATATAATAATAATAATAATAATAATTATATAATAATAATAATAATAATAATTATATAATAATAATAATAATAATAATTATATAATAATAATAATAATAATAATTATATAATAATAATAATAATAATAATTATATAATAATAATAATAATAATAATTATATAATAATAATAATAATAATAATAATAACCGCTATTGATCTGTTTTATTTACAACATCGAAACTATTGTACTAACGAGTGTGAAAGTGTGTGTTCGTTTACTAGGTTTTCTGCCTTCCCACCGTTCTAACATGTTTTTTTTTACTTATATCTTTATATGTAACAACAGAACGCCTTTATCAGAATTGTCCATTATACAGATACGTTAGGGCAACCAGAGAGAATTGTACAACGAATAGAATACAGTATTATAAAGCTGAATTTAATCGGGCGCACGTACGCGCCTCTGTGAAAGTCTTTAAACCGCAAAAAGCAATCGTACTTTTATCCGTCGCACACTTTTTGTCTGTTTCGCATGTTACTTCCCTCCCCCCGCCCCTCCCCCTTTAACCCCGTGACCGTTCTACGTGTATATGCACTGGATAGATCATCTTTTGGCTCTGAGTACAAGGTCCTGAACGAGACGCGTGTCCATACTTAAATTTATCTTACAAAAATATGTACAAATTTCACAGTGTCACCGACCAGGCGGCGGACGCGACGCTGTACACACCTAAACCGTTTCATATACATATACATAGATACCGCGTTCGCGCCGCGCGGTTGGATCGAGTTAACTTACACTAGTATACACTTTTATTATTACAAAATATCGGCTAAAGTATAAAGGAATACCAAATGCCAAAAATATCGCTCGTTTTACATTAGTCCCCCTCGTAGTTCATATCTGTTCAGTTTCCCGTTCGCTTCTACTCGTCGCGAAAGCTGTAGCCAAAAAAAAAAAAACATGTAAAGTCGATGCGCGTTAATATCTTTTTTCTTTCATCCAATCGATTTATAATTTACCATCTTCTAGCTAGAAAATACTTCTCCCCATTCTTTATCTCTAGTTTGAAGAGTTCCATTGAATTATCTCAAAATACATTTCTCTCTTTCTCTCTCTCTCTCTCTCTATGACGTTTGATTTTTCATAATTGCTTGTACAATTATTCGTTTGTCACTGGCTTGTATATGGAAGATGATCCGAACGAGAAATAAGAAATATTTATGGCCTTCAGATTCGCGCGCGCGGCAGAATTTAAACTCTTCGTTGTGTACATACGTGACCGTTTAGTGCGGTACGTATTGTTTATTTCCTCGGATGGAGAACGCGTAAGCTCGAGTTTAAAATCTGCGAAATATACAAAAGCCGAATAGTTATTACAAAACATATTACAACGAGGAACTCCGAATAAGAAACGCCGCAATTAATTAACGCATTTAATATATATATGTACACACACGACAAACATGTGAGAATTTCGATATAAAATCTTTGTACAGCTGACTAATAATAAATTACACCAATGTGTACACTGGGCGAATTATTCTTAAGCAAATGTACGGTTCTACATTCTTGGAGCAGAAACGACAGATGGAAAAAAAAAAAAAAATGGTCACATCGATCACCGGATATGGAAAAAAGAAGAAAGGAAAGAAAAATAGAATTTACAACATAAATAAATTAGTTTAAAAAGAAACATCGATACCTCTTTCCAATTCGGTATTCATATAAGAAATGAAAACAACTAAAACAATTTACAAACCTCGAAAACAAGAAACAAAATAATATAAGCAATCTACGTATTTTTTTAATTCAATTTCTCATCTCATCCTTTTTTCGTTTTACAAAAAATAGCCCTACGATTCTCCTGCCATACTAATTTCTTCTTTTTCTTATTGCAATTTATTCTCTCTCACTCTTTTCCCGCACGTTCTCTCTCGCTCATCTATCTCGTTTGATACATTCTCCTTCCTAAATCACTTCTTAAAGAGCTTTGTACTTCGGTATGAATGTTCAGTTTCAGAACTTCCGCAGATCGTTAAATAAAAAATATTCATCACGGAGACGCTTCTTAATATCAACTTACAAGTTTTTTTCTTTTGTACCGTTGACCATGATCGGGAACGAAAAAAATGAAACGACAAACGGTGGCAATTAAAAACTTAGCGCAAAAAAAAAAAAAAAACGATTTTTAAATACGAAACACGTGTCGAGTTTACTCAACGGAAAGTACAACGAAGCAACGAAATCGAATCGCGTGGGAAATGTTCGATTTAGGGCCTCGACGTTTAGAATCTTACAATTTCTATCCTAAACAGGCCTGTGTCCTTCTCATGGAATCGACGATCGTCATCGCGATAGAATTGAAAAATCGTTGGATTTTAATCGTCCATAAAAATCGTCACTGTGCGGTGATCGTAGTCCCGCTGAAATTTTACACAAGTATTCTTGCATTGTTTAAAAAAAAGACATTTCCTTCTTTGTTAGTTCACTCTATAAAATGGTAAAAGAAAAGAAAATCACAACTCACAGCACAGTGTCTCAACTACATTTGTGTCTCTCCGCCGGCTCATTGACTAATAATCGAATGTACATTTTAATATCGTTATATTATGCGTATATGCAAATGATATTTACAGAAAAATCTGGGATTGCAGTTTTGTATTTTAGTGTACCTAGATGTGTGTATACGTATGTAATATATAATCGTCGGAGGTGTCCGAACCGATTGCATATCACGATTTTCGGCCCGGATTCATCGTTCCAACTTTGATCGGTCTCATCAAAATTGGACTAACGCTATGTATAAACGTTTCTCTTTTTTCCTTAGGGCACCGTTTTAATCCATATAAAAAGTGTACGATACACTTTCGGCCGTAACGCTTAGATGCCAATTGTTTCCTCAAACGCGATTTCGGTATCTACGATGCAGGAGAATACTTTAGGTTTCCATTCGTTTCTTCCTTCTTCCTTTTGTTTTGAAAATACTTAAATTATCACTTTAGGCCACGCGAATTCCATCGAGTGCGTATCCGAAACCATCGGAAGCGTCGAATATCTGTTCGCGCCTCTTACCTCGCAGTCTACGCGCAACGTTCCGTATATAAGCGAGAACAGTAGTAGCACCTGGGATTATCACGTATCTCTCCTGTTCTCTCGTTTCACTCCGCCAGTCGTTCGAATTATAATCTAAATACTCCTGTTTCTCTTTGAATCCTTCTGCTAGAACGACTTAAGGCGGAAGAGATCGTGAGTCCATTCGATATCTTTGCTCCCCGTTCAACGCCGGGGATAATAACTTAACAGCTTTAATCCTAATGGAAATGAACGACCAGCCGCACGATTCGTGCGAGCCCCGAGTTTCGAGTCTAATTAAAAATTTTCCCAGCTAATTCTACCTTTCATGTGGGTTAAGACCTCGGCGCCGGGTGATTGTAAAACTGCTTCTGCGGCTGGCCGGATGCTGGATAGATCTGGTTCCCGGATGGCGGTGTCACGGACGAGTATTTCGGGATCGATACTGCTGTGGTAGTCGGCGGAATAAACTGCGGTGGATACGGATTCGAACCCGGCGGCGCCTGGGACGCTTGCGGCACCAAGAACTGTTGCTGCGACTGCTTGGTCGCGGACGCCTGACCAGGCGAGACGTTCGCGTAGATCGGTTGCGTGCTGTTCTGTGGGACAGTGAAGTTTGGATACTGAACGGGGCACGGTTTTGCTTGGAACTGCGGATAGTGAATCGACGCGGATCCTGGTGGCGGTATGTACGGCTGAGGAGGCAGCTGAAGCAATGGGTAGCCCGGCGGGGTGTTCGACATTGTTGGAATCGGTGGAGACGCCTTCCGCGCTTTCAGTATTGCCTCTGCCGTTAGACCTGCAGTGATTCATTAGAATGGTCAAAGATTCGCTCGTTTGTTCAATTTATTCGTAGACTGCGGATTTTATGGATTTAGTAAAAGATTGAAGTATGCAAAATGTTAATAGCGAATACATGTTTGAATTTGCACAGAAATTCGAGCAATAAGAAAGTGGCTTACCGTGTTTGCGAGCTCTTTCTTCCTCGTCATCGCTGAGAAATAAACCGAACTCTCGTTTCAATCTCTCCGTGAGATTCTCCCGTTGACGTTCGACTAGCGTTGGAGCAGCGGACCATCCGATCGTCCCTTCCTCTCCACCTACCAATTTATAACGTTTCGATAAACGTTTACTAACTTTCAGCGTAAATACTTTTATCTTTCAGACTACGAATTTTACGTATTTATAAAAAAAAGAAGTACAAAGTGCAAAAAATGTAGACACGCCGATTGCGCCTGGCAATGCTCAAATGAAATTCCTTTCTAACACGAATTTTTTTAAACTGATATCACGAATGCCCTAAAAATCCGCAGTCTACTTATTTTTTCTGACGATTGCTACCTTTCTTCTCGTCGCTCTCCGCGTTAGGGAAAAGTGGCAACGCGGTGAGATTCGGTATATCGAGCGATTGCGGGACTTTCGAACTTTCCTCGTCGGAACTTAGGGACGATGTTCCGCTGCTCGCGCTGTCCGATCTACCTCTCGCTGCTCCTTTATCCGTAGCCGAAGCGTCGGTCGACGGTTCGGGTTCCGGAGGCGTGCCGGACGATTGCTGTTTACGCTTACGGTACTCTGATATCGACAACTAGAACAGCGAATTACTTTTGAATAAACAAAAAACACGTAGTAGGATAATTTCGAAATTAACAGTATACTCTATAGTTAGTCTAACCTTTCGTTTCACGGGTGGATTCGCCTCGGGTTTAAATGCAGGAGCTGGCATACTGTTGGGAACAACGGTCCTTGGATCCTTCAGTCGTTTGATTTCTTTAGGCGGAGGTTCCTCCTCTTTCACCGGCGCCTCTTCATTTTGAACCGGTTGAAACGCAGGCTTTAACGCGGTCTCTTGTACTTCTGGATTTTGCTCTGATGTCACAGACTTCGGCTCAACGTACGGCGCGTTGTTCTCTTCGCTCGGCTCTTCCTTCGCGCTATCAGTCGACAGATCATCTAATTTCGCTTCCAGCAGTTCTCTCAACGCCGTCGACAGCATCGATTTTTGTTCACCGTTCTTGGATCCGTCGACCGAGTCCATGTCGATGGTGGATTCGATGATAGCTGCCTCGAAATTCAACTGGCTCTTCGAGGCGTTCGACGTTTCTGTCTTCTTACGAATACGTTCGCTCAGCGGTGGAATGGAATGAAAAATCTTAGGCGGTTCGACAATCGACTCCGTGTCCATGTTCGAAGATGCGGACTCGAATATAGATTCTTCTGACGATGGTACGAATGCACACTGCTCGATCTTCCGAAGCTCCTCGTTCTGTTCTGGCTCCTTAGTGTTGTTCTCGAGCACGACTTCTGGTTCAGGTTTACTATCGAATTCCTTGAAGAACTTCTCCTCGTGGTTCAAAGTGAAATTCTTAAACGATGGCTCGTACTTTTCCTCCTCGTCCATTTCCTTGTCGTCGGACTCAGAATCCTCTTTCGAACTCTCCATCAAACCTTCGATACCGTCCATGCTCTTGTCCTTCTCCGAACTAGTGTCTACTTTCTCCTTATAATCGTTCCCATCGTCGCCAGTGATCTTCATCATCTGAGCCTCGACGTCGAACTCATCGATCGACATGTCATCCGACTTATCTTCGCACTTCATATCTTCCGGCGACTTGTCTCCGTCCTCGCACTTGTCTTCGTCGACTTTCATCATCTCGCTTAAACTACCACCGAACTCCAGCCTCATCTCGGCCACGCGTTGCTTCAAAATCGCGTCCGACTCCATAACAGGGATCGAATGCAAACCTTCCATCTCTATATCGTTTTGGTCGACTATTTCTACCGTTCCCTTCTCTGGCTTCAAGCTCTCCTCTCTTTTTATAAACAGTTCGGTTTTATTCCTATCCTTGTGATCAACCATCATATCGTCCTTGATGGACCTTAACTCGTCTTTGACGAAAGCTTTCGATTCTAAATGCTCGTAGCTGTCGCAGCCCATGTCATCGTCCTCTTCTTTCTTCACATCGATATTTTCCATTTTGACCAGGGATGTGTCCATCATATGCTCTAAGGATTTTACCGTTTTCATGTGAAAATCTTGAGGGATGTCTATTGAAAGCTTCTGCCGAACAGCGTCGTCCGCATCGACCTCATGCTTCATGGACTCCGGCGTTATGTGCTGTTCGTCGTTCTCTATCAACGGCGACTGTAGCTGCTCGATGAAATCATCCTGAGAAAAACATTCCATTAAAATATCACCGCAATTAATTACCAGTTCTGATTAAATGATCACTTACCTCGGTGGCACTTAGGGATCTAGCGTTCGAGGCAGATTCGGGAACAAGCATCGTAGGTGTCGTGGGCGGAGTGTAATTGTCCGATGACAGACTTTCCCTAGCAATTCTCCTCTTCTTCGGTGGAGCTACCATCTCACTAGGTGGTGGACTCTCAGGACGACTGTTCGGCGAGTCGCACTCCTCGGAGATCGCTTGCCGTAACCACCTCTTCTTAGCAGAGCCCGTAGAGACTGGACATACAGTGTTGTTTCCGGCGGTGGCTTGTTTCGCACGTTGAGGCGGCGAATCGCATATTCCCGAGACGGAATTAGCAGCTTGTACAAGGGTCGCCAAACCCTTGGCCGCGTAACTCTGGCTCAAGAACTCCGCGGACGAATCAGTTGGTAAAGAAAAGTCTGACGGTCTGGTGAGAGGGTTTATCGAATTCGATGATGGCACTGACGGTAGCGCAGGTAACGGCGACACCTGGGATACGCTATTTTGCGGTGGGTCCGGTGACTCCTTTAACCACTCGTTCATCAGGACTTTTTTCGTCTTGGGAAACTTGAAGCCAGGAGCTAGAGGACCGACCGCTGCTGCGACCAATAGACAAGCTGAAGACAGCGGAGTCGACGGAGTGGAACTCTGAGAACTGCTACTCGCTCCGCTGTCGCAGGTTGGACTTTTGACTGGAGTGGGTTGTTGCAAGGGCGGTGAACTGGGTCCGGGCGCGTTCGAATTCGCCAGGGCTAATAACAAACCAGCAGCCGTTGGAATTCCTTGATGACCAGGCGGAGCTACGGTCTCGCCTGCGTTCTTGGAAGGTGTGTGGAAATGGGAAGAGTAAGGAGCATCTCGATTCTGAGAGTGATTCTGGTTCGACAGAGGGGGTGATTGCAAGGAGTTGCTCTCTTCTCCCGACGATTCGTCGGAATCCGCGGAGTTCAGCCTCGTTCTTCGACTACTGCCTGACTGAGAACTGCTGGTGGTCCTCGCTCTCCCTTTTCGTCTTTTCCGTCTCAACGGTCTCTCCGAATTTTGCTGTTTCTGTTTGGGCTGCATCGTGACGCTGTGAGCATCTTCGTTATCACTGTGAGTACCACCGGACTCCTTCCTTTGCGCGTTCCTCGCTTGAACCTCTTGCTTCCTCTGCTCCGCTTTTTCAAGCCTCTCGAAAGCTTTCATGATAGCCTCCATTTTTCTCTCCTCTCGAGTCATTTTCTTCTTGTCTTTCTTTTCTTTCTCCGGCGGAGCTGGCTGCGCTGAATTCGGAGAAATTTGCGGAGGCTGTACTACTGGAGGTGGTTCCTCTTTAGGTACCTGACGCACCGGGTTCGCCACAGTAGTCGTTACCGTCCTCCTCGGTGGTGCTGGTACCGAGGCCACCGTCGTCGGCGGCGGTGTTGGTTGCGCGACGACGGTATTGCTCGGAACCGCGGTCGAAGAATCACTATCCTCGCAGATCGTGTTTCGTCTACCCCTCCGTCTCCGTTCACGACCGTCCGCGTTCTCGGCTAACGCCCCGTTGCTTCCTCTTCTGTTCAACTGGTTCAACGACACTATCTGACACTCTCGCGGATTGTTACATGCGCAGACGATGGGCATCATTGGACCGTTCGGATTAGGCGACAGCAACAGGTCGTGTTGCTCGTGTCTGATCGTGATTTCTGCGTTCTTCTCAATCGCGGTGGTGGTAACGATATACAAATGTAACGTCCCTTTCTCTATACAGTGTTTCACTTCCGCGTTAGGCTTACAACTACGTCGTACGAATCTGGCATCGTTTCCGTACGTTCTGGTATCCACGCACACCTCTGTCCCGTCCCGTGGTAACCGATAAAAGAACACGAAAGGTCCAGGCCTTTGAGTATGCTGCCTTCCTTGGGGATACGACGGCCTGTGCTGCGTGCTTAACATGTATTTCCCTCGTAGCTCCACCACGGGCGTGTTCGGCGGGAGATGCATCGTTGCCACCAGAAACTACGCGGACAACGATTTTTAAAAACTCTCAATCCGACGGAGTGATTATTTATTATTATTGTTATTAAAAGAATGATACTTACCCTAACGTTGTTACTATGCACGTTGAGCCTGCACTTTCCGGTGGCGATCACGCTCATGTTGCTCTGTCTTAGATCGCTGTGCGTACCGTTCACTTTAATCGACGAAATCCTCGCTCTCAATTCAGGACTATAGTGATTCGTGACCGCTTCCTCGTACCGTTCTATCCACTGTCTGAGCGGCGCCACGTTCGAGCTCCACGCGTCTTGGCTCTCCTCTTCCTTGTCCTCCAGACTCATTCTTCGTTTCGCTTTGCGTTTACCCGGGCCCCGTTTCACGACCTCTTTCTTTCGTACGGCGCTCGACTGTCTCGCGTGCGAGTCTCTCCTCTGCCTTTTCGCGACGTTGTTATTATTATTGTTGTTATTGTTGTTCAATCGTCTTACTTGCGGCGGTTCGGACTTTCGTCGCGGAACCTGCTGCTGCAAGGTACGTTTCTTTGGGATCGCGTTCACACCGACGTCGGTGTCCGCCGAACTGGTCGACGACGTGTCGGACGACGTGTCCGAGTTTAACAACTCCTCGCGTTTACGCATTTGTAACGCGCGCGCCCTTTGTCTGTCCACGCGCCGCGGACGACAGATCTCACAGAGATACTCGTCAGGAATGTTCGAACGGTCTATACCCATGCAGTCAACGTGCTGCCACACCCTAAAACGTTCACAATTTTTCCCGAATTAACTTAACGTTCAACCTGACGCATTTAAAACTTCCCGAAATAATTGCTTATACTCACAAACAGCGATCGCAGCAGATCATGTACCCATCGTCGTGTTCAAAATCACTAAAAGTAAATTTTATATTAACTTTCTCGTACTTTTCATCGAATTCATTCGTATCAATATACCCGAATACTTGCCATATGCATCTGGTGACGCTGTCTTCGTCGTCTCCTTCTCCCTCGGGGGCAGTCTCGGTCTCCTCGCCCTCCAGCTCGACGTCTCTCCCGGTCTCGCTGCTGATAGCGCTGGTTGCATCATCATCAACGTTGGCACCGGCAACAACTATAATTAACAGAATCGCATTAAGACGACACGATTCTTCTATTATCATGCGGAGCTATTCGAACATGAAACACACCTTTCCCATAAATGTAAGGATGCTGAGAGGTCGCAGTCGAGCTTCCGGCACCGTTGACCGGCTGCTTCGGATGGGCCGGCGGTGAAGCGGGTGACGGCGTTCGCGGCGGCGGTGCCCCATAATTGTGATCCTGTAGGACGTACTGAAGACACTATAATCAAGAATTACGTGTTCTAGGAACAACTAATATATAACTAAGAAATGCGACAGTGCACGCTGCAACCGACCAAGACTCGCTATTAAACTTCGCGTTATTTCTACTACTAGTATATGTTACCTCGTAAGGAGGAGGGATTCTTATGATCGGAGACGTCGGACGTTGTTGACGCTCGTCCTCCTTGGATTCGCGCGACTCCGGCTCGCTTCTAAAAACGTCCATGCTCAATCAGAACTGTTTCAATGAAATACGTGATTAAATACTTACTTATTCTCGGCATCCTTGCGTGGCTCCGTGCTCGTTACCGGTAACAAAGTTTTCACTTGCCCGGTCTGTTGCCTTACTTGCTGCGGGAACTGCGGCGTAGACACCATCTGCTTTTGCTGCATCGCTTGCTGTTGTATTTTAATCGGTTGACTCTTGTGCATCATCATATTCGGCGCGACGCTCTGCTGAGGCAACAGCGTCTTGATACTCGGCTTCTGCGGGACTCCGCTCGTCGGCCCTTGACCCTTCGCAGCGGTCACGTTCGTGTTGAGGGACGTCTTGATGCCCTGAACCTTCTGCGCGTGGTTTCTCTGGGCCGGTTTCTGCGGCGGTATCGTTTTTATACATCCCGGCTGTTTCTGCGCGTTCTGTGGCCCGATCGCGTTCTGCTGCTGTTGAATTATCTTCACTGGCTGCGGGTTCGCGTTCCTGTGCAACGACTGCTGCACGGGAGCCTGCGAGTTCGGAGTCTTCACGGCGTTCATCTTCTGCGGCCCGCTCTTCAAGTTACCCTGCTGTTGCTGTAAATTCTGCGTTTGATTCTTTGGCACCCCGACTCTCATTACCATTTGCTGTTGCTGTTGCTGCTGCTGCTGTATCTTCGAGTTAGCTACCTGCGTTCGCTGATTGTTAGGCATCGTCGTAATCGACGCGACCTTTTGGTGGACGTTTGTAATACTGTGACTCCTCTGCGGATTATTCGCGTTCGTTTGCTGTTGCTTCTGCACCATCTGTTGCTGCTGCGGGGTTTGCTGCAACAATTGCTGTTGTTGCATCTGTGTCGAGTTTTGTACCTGCTGCGACTGTTGTGGCTGCGAAATTACTTGCTGCTTGTTCACTCCCAGCAGGTTCGCGTTCTGCGGAGTTTTCGGGATATTGGGTACGCTGTTGCTCTTGCACGCGTTCGCGATTGATTGTGCTCTGGTGGAATTAACCGTAGCGACGGACTGTGATCTCTGTAGGACTGCCGTGGACTGCGGTCTCGGAAGCTGAGACGGCTGGACTTGCTGCACGTGCTTCTGCACTTGCGACGATTGCTGCTGACACTGAACCACCTGCATCTTCTGTATGCCTGCTACAGAACTGCTAGTCTTCTGAACGTTGTTCACCGGCGCCGCGGCCGACTGCTGCCTCGGCACTGTCACCGTCTTCTGCGGCTGTACCTGTAACTTCTGCAACCCCTGCTGTTGATTACCCGGTATCTGTTGGAGCTGCGCTTTGTGATTCGGATGGCTACCCAATGTCTGCGACGACGGTACCTTTTGGTTATTGTAAACCTGTCCCGCTACCTTCTGCGTTCCCGCGGCGTTCGCTTGAGATTTCTGCGGATTCCCCTGTTGCTGAGCCCTGTGCGTATTCGCGTTGTTCGCGACCTGATTGACAGCAAACTGAGTGGTTTGAGCGGTGCCGCCCGACACCTGACCCTTCTGCACGGTCTGTATCCTGGGCACAGAGTTCCTCTGAACGGTGACCCCCTGGTTCACGCTGGTCACAGCCTTCACTTTCTGCAAATTCATCGTCTGCGCTTGGCCCACGAGATTCTGCGCCTTCACGTGTATCCTTTGAATGTTCGGTAACGTCGCCGCGGTGTTGATGGCTCTCACCGCGCTGCTGCTCACCATCAGCTGCGATGACACCGGCTGAACCTTAAGAGGCAACGCGGACACCGTGTTCGTCTGCTGCAGCTGCTGCTGTTTCCCTTCGGACGTGACTACCTGGTTCTTGGCCGGTTGCTTACTCTGCGTGGACACCACATGCTGTAAAGGGTACACGTGTGCCATTCCGCTCCCGGGCGATGGTAAGGACTGTGCGTTCACCGGCACATGGGCAAGGTTCGACGCCGCCATTAACGGACCCTGTTGAATCTGGTGGTGACCGGACGACGGCAATTTCTGCGAGATGACCCGCGTCGTCAACACCTGAGTGGTGTTCGTTTGTGGCCCGCTGATCCTCTGAACCTCCCTGACGGCCTTCGCCACCGGATACGTGACGCTGACCGACTTCACAGTGGAAAACGAGATAACATGGCTGGCTGGAAGCTCCGCGTTGCTGTCTAAACATTGAAGGATCTGAGATTTCCCGGGTTCCTCCGTCTCCGCGATCATCACCGCGTTCGACGGCTCTTGGCTCAGGGTCGAAGGGTTGCCGCTCTTCTTTTCCAGAGGCGTTTCCACCGTGCCCAGCTGCAAAACGAAGCTCATGGTGGTCTCCGCGGTCTGCGGATAGTTTTCCACGCATTTCGCAATCGGTGCGGCATCGTTCTCGTTCGCATCGGTATTACGCTCGGCCGGGGACACCGGGGGAGGTGGGCCAGGCCCTGGGGACAATTGTTCCCCACCCCCACCTGTTCCACCCCCCGATAACTTGATCACCGACGGGGTCGACGTTTTGGAGGCCTTTCGATCACGCTGAACTGGAAAGCGAGTTATGATCGAACGGCTAGCCTCGGCCGGGGTACCGCACTCTTCGATTCCGCTATTTGAGGGTCCTGAACCATAAGCTGCAACATACCATCGAACGTTCATTCGTTAATCAGTTTGTTCTCATTTATCAAACAAAATCTTAAATACAAAATTATGATAAGAAGACTATGAATATTACAGAATGCTTATACCGATGTTTGGGGAACGATACGTTTTTCAAATCGGATATCTACGTACCCCAGCGACCTGAACATCCTGCAAGGGGCATTAATTATTCACCGCCCATGACGTGGCGGTGCAATATTCAAAGCTATCGATCAAGAAAAACCGACATGTTTCTCCCCTCAACAGAGAGGACAGTAGTAAGCATTATACGTTTTACCATTTTCAGTTTTAAATACAAAAAAATTGAAGCAAATAAAATAGTGGAACGATTAAACAGAAAAGGAGGAAAAACGCGAGTTTCGGCGTGAAACCGGTTTGCGATAATTCCGATTTAGATTACAACCAGATTAACTCATGGAATCGATCGCACAACCGCTTTTAATGCTCTTAATTTTCTCTGTAATTACAATCAAAGGAAATATGGGAAATAGCAGATTGTCTCGTATCGATATTATTA